GCATGCCTGCCTCACCACGCACGCTTTTAAATGTCAGGAGGGGAAGAAACGGTTTTGGGTGGGAACCCCCACTGGTTGACCCTTCATCTTTCCCCACAGGCCTGGGTCCCCCGCTGCTCTCTCTCTACCCGGACGAGGACCCCGTGGAGCCCAGGAGCCACTTCCAACCGGCGGCAGGCTTGGCCCAGGCCAACTGAGCCAGCTCTGCGGGCCCTCTTCCCTGCGCCCTTCCACTCCCCAGAAAGGACCTCAGCCACACTCCACGCCAGCAGCCAAAGCACAGGATGGGGCACCAGGAGAGGGGCTCCTTCTCTCCTTTCAGTGGCCCCCGCCCACCTCGGGCCTACCTCAGCCCTCACCCCTCTGCCCCTCCATGTCTGGGGGGCTTTCTGGGGTGGTCTCAGCTCAGTGACCTCTGGGAGGGGGCCCCTGGCGCCCTCCTCCTCCTTCTCTCAGGACTTCCCTTGCGGTTCTCTCTACTGGTTACCTCATCCCTTTCTCCACTCTCCTGGCTTGATTTTGGGTAATTAGGGGTGGGGGAGGTGGGGGCCCAGGTCTGTGCTTCTGGGCTCTGGGGAGTATTGATAACCACAGTCACGTTTCTTTCCATCCATTTTTGTTGTTTTCACAACAGGGTTTTAATCGCTATGGATTGCTAAGAATGCAGAACTCTGATTCCCACCCCCCCCCTTCTTCAGGTGTTAATGGGGGGGGGCCTCTGGGGCAGACCTCACCCCTAGCAACTTCAGATCAACCCCTTAGCCTCCCAAGTGGCCACCCCACTCTGCCTGCCCCTCCCCTGGGAGCTTCTGCTGTCCTCAGTCTCCCCTGGGCACTGGCTTCATTCATGGGCTTCCTCCAACTTCTACTGCTTCCAGATCGTAGGACTTCCAGCTCTCTCCGGTTCTAGGCCACTCAATTCCTGGCCTTCTCCGGTTCTAGACCGCACAGCCCCCCCGGACACAGTCTGGTTTTGAGCTCACATGCTCCAAACGCCTCTGATTCCAGACCTCACGACGGCCAGCTCTTTCTCGTTCTGGACCTCACAACCTAAACTTTATATTGGTTCTAGTCTTCCTGACCTGTAATACATTTGGTTCCAAATCCAGACTCCTTAAGCTTCTAAATCATGATGCTTCATGATGCCCAGCTCCTTCCTTTTCAACTTCCTACACTCAAGACTTGCTTTTCCAATCAAAAAGAAGTAAAGCGAGCTTTATGTCTTGATCTTATAATCACGCTAATACTTCCAGACCACACACCAGTTCTCTTTTGCTCTAGACCTCATGACCTCCATCATTCACTGGTTCGAGGCTATAAAACCATTAGACCTTGCGATTTCCAGGACCCTCTGATTCCAGATCTGATGATCTCATTTTCCCCTGACTCTTGAACTTGGCTTCAAATGTCTTCTGATTCCAGACTTCATCCTATAAATTCTCCTGGTTCTAGACCTCACAATCTCCAATGCCCTCTCTAGATCTTATGACTCCAAATTACCCTAGATCTAGAACTTAACCTCCAAACATCTAATTCTAGATCTTGCCTTTAAAAAAATTTCTGGTTCTAGACCCTACAACCCCCAGCTCCTGATTCTAGATCTTGACTCCAAAATCTCTCTGGTCTCCAAAATCTCTCTGGTTCTAGAACTCGGTCCTCAGACTTCTGAATTCCATTCTGTATAGTCTATAGATTCCTCTGGTTCGAGGCCTCACAGCCTCCCATCATCTCTGATTTCAGATCAAAATTCATTTGGTTCTAGAACTCAGCCTCCAAGTGCCTCTGCTAGTGGACTTTACGCCTAAGCCCCTCCGTTCTTGATCTCATGTCCCTGAAGTTTCCCTCTCCTAGAACCACCACCACTGCCCCACCCCCAGCTCTCCAGAGATGCACTTCCCTTTACTTGACCCCAGGTACCTGGGGGACCTGGGGCTCCCTTACAATCCAGGAGATTTCCCCAGCCGCACAGACACACGCACAGCCCTATCTGCATATCACGGGTGGGGAGAGAGGCTGGGACTCCTCAGTACTCCGCCACTACCTGTGTATCCCTCTTTGCCCCCCACCCCATTGCTACGACGGTGCTACTCTTGGTCTCCCCCACAAAAAGGCCTCCCTCTCTCAGCTCAGTTCACCCCCACTTTGGAAGGCACTTCTCTGTTTTGTCCGGGGATGGCCTGTCCAGATTGGTGCTATGGGGGAAGAAGGCTCTGGCCCCTCCTTCCCTCAGGGGGTGACCTGGGCCCTCGATGGAGGGAACTGGACGGGGTTGGGGGAGGGGAAGGGACTGGTCCAGCCACTCTGGCTCTGAAACCCGCTAGTCTGTACACCAGCATAAAGACTTCGCCTTGGTAGGCACCAGAGCTCTGTGTGTTGACTCATCCGCGGGGTCGCTTCGCGGTGTGTGGGTATCCTGGCTGGCTGTGTCACTTTGAGTCCGTGTGACTCTGTGTTCCTGCGTGGGTCCGTAACAGTGCATGTCCGGTGATGTTGGAATTCTGTGTACGTGTCTTTGTGACATCATTCTGTGAACTGGTTGTGGGGCGGGGGTGGGGGGGATCGTAACCCTTCTACCTTTATGTGTTAGCATCGGAGTGAAAGGATTCTGCTTTAGGGGTTTCTGGCTACCTGGGGTTTCTGCGTTCCTGAGTGTGGGAGGTTTTGTGGTATTGCAATTTTGCCTGCACGGATGGGACTGTTCTGACACTGTCATTTCGTAGACGGATATCTGTGTGACACAGTGCTCTCTGTACTTGAGCGTATGTGCGTTACATGTGACACAGAGAGATTGCGTGTCTACAGATTCACGTGCAGTTGGGTGTGCCTGTTCTGTCCCGTCTCCGTAGATCACCTCATAACTCCTCTCCCATGTAGGAACCTTTTTTTTT